ACACCTAAAAGAATATCAAATTGTTTTTGAAAAATTTTATATTTTATTATTACTTTCTCTATTCTAACTCTGTATAGACTTGGTTGATTTGACCAACCTTGTAAACATCACTAAAAAAATTTGAAATAAATCTAAATAACCCATTTTTTTTCTTCTAGAATAATTGCAGATTGTAACAGAAAACTACTATACAGCTTAAGACAGACCTTATATATTTTCAGATCTAGGAGCCAGCCCCAAAACTCAGGAGCCAGGTGTGCTACACTAGTGCCTCGATTATTCGTGGTTTTTTCTTTTATCCAAATTTTCTCAAAATAATTGTGCCATTACAATTGTAGACAATAATTTATATATTTTGGAGAAATCAATCTTAGAAATTAATTTTGCTTGCAAAAGTTCAGTTGTTGCATGATATCCAGGGTTTTCGCATGCAGGATCTGGCATGCATTCAAATCATAAGTCGGCCAGTTTAAGCCTAGCCTCTTTAATTTTTACCTGTTAAGACAGGAATACAAAATATTAATAGCCTTGTTAACTGTATTTGATTAGTAATTATAAACATAGTATATGAAAACACACAAAATACACATTAAGATTTCTTAAAGATTTCATTCAACTTCAGTTGTCGTCCATTGTTCTATGCAGCATGCTGGGCATCCTTTAACCACAGATGCATATTCAGGTTGTGTTGGAGTGTCACCCAATTACACATTATCCTCTTCTCTATAGATAATTGGTATCTTCAGTCTGCTGTAACAGATTTTTTTTTGTAATAATTCCCAAGCATAGATTTACACTAATTTTTGACTTATTTTTCACTGGTGTTGGTAGGATACAAATGCACTTTTGTGTCTATGGGAGAAAAAGTGTTGAAATTCAGGAGGTACTTATGGCAATGTTAGCAATTAATTTCAACTAAAATGGGAACGAGCAATGAAAAGAGGAAATATTATAGAAGAAAAAGTGGAAGTGGACTCGGGTAATTCACAACATTCGGAGAAATCGAGTGTGACCAACAGACTGACCAACCGACACTTGGTTTTATGATAATGATGACTTTTATAATTTTTCATAACAATTCATTAAACGACAATAAAATGATTATAATTTGAAACAAGGAACTTAAATATATTGAGAAATTTTATCTAGATTGAACAATGCGCTAACTAGTGAGATTCACTAGTGCCTCGATTATCTGCTTTTTCTGTTATCTGTGATTTTTTGCTTTCTCTGGGCCAGTGTGGATAATCAAAGCACTAGTGCATATTTTTTTTACTTTCATAGCAAGGAATGCATGCTAACAACCACATGATATCAACAACCAATTGCCTGAACTAACTCCCTTTGGTCCCATCTGAGTCTAAACATGTTCACTGACAGGTTGAATTGAGAGAAAGAAAAAAACAAAATAGTGTGAAATTAGTAATGTGTTGAGCAACCACAGCACTTCATTCCTGAAAAAACATGAAGAAAAGCTGAGTCCACCATTGAAATCCTAGAAACAAGTTTGATTTAAAACTCAAAGAAAATAGTTCTGGACTACCGAGAGTCCAGAACTGTTCTAGATTCGAGTTCTATTTAGCACAGCCTTGCATACAAATAAAATAGTCTACACTTGTTTTTTCTTAATTTTATTGTGTCATTGCCCTTTGAACAACCCTCTGCTTTCTTCCATCCAGCCACTATTTCATCCAATTTGCTAACTTATCCCCTACAACTATAGAGATAATTATTTTTACAAGCCTTTCATGTGGCACTTTGTCAAATGCTTTCTCAAAATCCAAATACATCAAATCTACACTCTTACCCTTATCTACATAAGCAGTAACCTTTTCAACGATTGTTAAAAGATTTTCCCTAAGTGAAACCATGTTGACTATCCAATAAAATTCTAAATTTTGTTAAATGACTTTGCAAAACATCTTTTATCAGACCTTCCAAAACTTTTCCCACAACTGATGTAAGACTAATGGGTCTATAATTACTGGGACAATTTTTATCACCTTCCTTGAAAAGAGTAGTGACATTAACTAACTTTCAAACCTCTGGTACCTGCCCACTATTCAAAGACTTACAAAAAACAATAGCAAGTGGCTCACATATCCAATCCTTAACCTTCTTCAAAAACCGTGGGGAAATATTATGTGGCCCAGGAGTTTTATCATTCTTTAAACTTCCAAATTTTTGCTTAACAAGCTCAGAATTAATGCAGTCATCTTGTTCAATCATGCATTCAGACCAATATATATTTTTTGCATGCAAGGGTTGTTATGTTTAGTAAAAGCTTCCCAAATATATACTCACTCACTGCATCAAAAATTATAGTATGTATAGTTCCAGGGTTGCATGGTGGTTGCAAGATTGGTCAAACTGGCCCAGGCCCATGAATGAATTTCTCAGATTAGGCTGTGTATGATAGATAAATAATGTATTTTTCTTGAAATTTCTGAAGATTTGTATTTGTTCAGAACAAAACTTGGTACCCCTAATAATAATAAAATATATTGCATTATGCTTGATTAAAGGCAAAATTTTCTTTTTCAAGTTCATGTCTTCCCTGGTCTGGTTTGGATATCTTGTCCCAGTTACCACTGAAATACAGTTTACATGAACACTAAACGTATTTACAACAAGATATTGAAGTAATGAAGAAAGATTATCAATATCTGTAATGGACTACCTTAAAGAATCATGATTTATTAAAAAATTGAGAAATACTTTTTAACTTGATTGTGCAGCCTCCACTGATGAGCTTGTTTCTGGTTTTGTTGACTTAGGAACTTTCTAACATGAGGTAATCGGTGATTTTGGTGTTTTTTAGAATCTGTTAACCCCACCACAGCATTCAGGAGATAAGCTTGAGGTTCAGAATGCAATATTTCCACTGCAACAGAGTAATTTGATAGAATAAAAATAAATAAATAAATCATGAAAGTGAAATATTAACATGAAATTGCATCCAAGCTTATAAAACTTCATACTAAGACATCTTAAAGGGTAAGCATTGCACTCATTAAATTATCAACAAGATTTTGCCTGAAGATTGCTTCACAACAAATTTTATACTATTAGTTTTCATATCTAAATTCAAAATTTACTTTTTAACTACAGTATCCATCTATAGTAATAAAACAGCCTATGTGTTTGTTTGTCAGTCAGTCAGCACCATAGCTCCAAGAGGAAAGAACCTAGAGACCTGAAACTTTGTACAGATACTAAGGGAATTCTGAGGGTGTGCACCTGTGTATTATTTTTATTATAACCAGACTTTTCTCTATGTTAAAATAATTGTTTTCATTAGCAAGCTTTCGGTCCTCTTAGTGGAACCTTCAGGAGGCAACAATGTACTAGGCAATAAAACTCTGTTTAAAATAAGTATCTAGGCAACAGTTGTAACAATAACTGACATCTAGTATTAAAGTTATTAAACATTTAGAATTATGATGAATATAGAATATAAATCAAAAGCTTCAGCGTAATAAACATAACGAAAATACAATTGTAAGTATTACATAGTGAATGAATAAATAAATGAATATCTCATACTTTAAGTAATAATTTGTAAAATTAAAAATTTAATTCTACATCAAAACCACAAAAATACTGTGTTTGAGTAAGTTTCTAAATATTGTCTTTGATTTGTTTGGCTAGCTGAGAGAGTGACTGTTAAACCAAGGACTCAACTACAGCTTAAATTTTATTTTGTACAATGTTTTTAAAAACAT